TTAATTACCTAATTTATATTTTCCATATTACTTTCAAGATTTTAATTTCCATTTTAGTGGTCATAGTCATATTCAATAGCTTTAATTATTAAGAGGTACTTTTTCAGGAAAAGTTTGGTCTTCACATTACAAATTCTGCTTTAAATGGATGGACCCAAAATGCCTAACTTTCTTTTTAAGTCTTTAATTATAGCTCGTTGAACATATTTAACCCTTATTTGGTAGAAATTAAAATNAAGTCTTTAATTATAGCTCGTTGAACATATTTAACCCTTATTTGGTAGAAATTAAAATTAAATTTTTAGTAAATTTTGATAAAAATTGATGAAATGTGTGGTTAAAAAATATGAATCCTATAAAATATATGATTAAAATTAATTGTTGATTTTAACTTAAATTAAAATATTGATTATAATCAGTATCGAAAAGGGCTTTAGTATATTAACTATGTTGGAAAAATGGTTCGTCGGTCTATAATCTATTCTTTTAATTAGAAGTTAACTCTCGGCTGACTTTTTACAATAATTGCACAATCAATTTTCAATATCTAAATCATCTTCAAGTATCACGTGGGCCTGATGAAAACATATCTCAATTCGAACTTAAAAACGCTAGTCAAATCCAGGAAATAAAACTCGACTTCATAAAGTTGAACGTGTACAAGTTAGTTGACAATTTAACAGATTGATTTAGTATTCAGAAATAAATTGTATAACTAAAATGAAATGTTAGATATCAAATCGTTAATGGTGTAACAGGTTGGGACTAATAGTGCAATTTTTCCCAAATCTATTAGCACTCTTCAAACCCCAAGATATATAGTTACACCCCTTCAAGAGTCTCTCCACCCTTTCATTCTTCATCACTCCTCTCCTCAATGGCTCAGGTATTGTATGCGTCTACAATTCTCCCCTTCCCCTTTCTGAAAATTTGGTTGGTGCTCAAGTTTGTTAAGGCAATTTCAGTTTTTCCGATGGGACGAGCACTTGACCAATTACATAAAAACAGATTATTTGCTTAGACTAACATGAAATGATCAGATTTTCTTATTTGAAATTTGATAGCAGAAGGTGGTGTTGAAGGTGTTGACGATGACAGATGAGAAAACAAAGCAAAAAGCCATAGAAGCTGCAGCAGATATACATGGTACATAAAAATGCATTCTGTTCTTGTTTTTCAGTAATTTATACTAATATTTGTTTGTAAAAACAGGGGTGGATTCAATTGCTGCTGATCTGAAGGAGCAAAAGCTGACAGTAGTAGGAGAAATGGATGCAGTTGCAGTGGTTAAGAAATTAAAGAAAGTGGGAAAGGTTGATATTTTGTCAGTTGGTCCAGCGAAGGAAGAGAAGAAAGAAGAAAAGAAAGAAGAAAAGAAGGAAGAGGACAAGAAACCAGAGGAAAAGAAACAAGAGGATGAGAAACCAGAAGAAAAGAAATAAACAGCCACTTCATTCCACCAGTTGAGGTTTTTAATTTTCATAGAAAAGAACTCCTGAGACATTTTCACAAACAAATAGCCACCAGTGTGAATTCAGGTTCTTGTCATGGAATAAGATATATGGCTTCAATGAATTTCTTCTTGTGGGTCATTTTCCATTGCCAAAATTCTCAAAACCCATCAAATAAAAAAATAATAATAATAAATAAATAATGGTGGTGGTGGTGGTGGTGGCAATTTGTAGAGCTTTTCACGCATCTTATCTTGAGGGCAATTATTTAAGGGTACAAACAGATCATTCTTGAAAAATTAATCAGAATAGCAACAATTATGTCAATAATAGATAAATCCAATGAACATATGGAGGAAACTTTTAGCAACTATATTAAGGTTGTCTTGTTTCCCTTTTAAGCCACTCTAGAAGGGAAATATCTCCAAGAGAACATGAGAAGCTTTAATTAAACTTGGTCTCAGAACATTCCCAATAAAAAAAAAAAAACATCTAATAACAACTCAGAGAATCGAAAGGCGAGAGGATTTTGTAAAAGTGAATTACGATTACAAAGATATGAGAGACTCAAGTCACTCAACCAATGAGAAATCAAAGACCTTTTCCAATTGTCCTATCGGTAAACCCCATTCCTCAGAATAAAAAAACTAAAACCTTTAGACCCCGTTCGGGAGGGCTTAAAATCCAATTAAAATTGAAAATATGGCCATTATTGGATCCCACCCGTCTAATAAAAGTCAACAATAACGACTATATTTTCAATTTTAATCTGATTTTAATCCCTCCCAAACAAGCTCTTAATAAGATTAGTCTTTTTCTGTGGTCTTGATGCGATATTTTCTTCAGCTCGACCATAGTCCTTGAGTAGTTCATAGAACAAATGCAGACAGACTGAAAACGTTATGGTTACCATAGATTTTGTAAACAAATTAAGCAACCTTCGTAAATAAACTAGACTATAAAGTTCACACATTAATCTACTTGCATCATGACTATTGACTTTGAAGCACGATGAGGATGGGCACACGAAGCAGAAATGGAACAGTTGTTAAATCGTCTTCATCAGTTCAATTGCTTTGCTATAGCACGACCCGCGAGTGTATGAAATTAAGACAGGCACCACCTGCATGCAAGAGCAAAAAAAAATGTAGTATGAAACCCCAGAGTTTAATTTATGCTATTAATATTCTCTTGTTTCTGTTTTAATAGGAAGAAAAATAGAAAATTGGAGTAGAGCATTGTGCACAACTTCGTAGCAGTGCATGCATTTGATTGGGATAAACATGAATTACATGAAGAATCACAATTGAGTATCTTAGTCCTTTATTCATGTCTTCTCTAGTATGTTATGTTCGGTAAGCTTAAAATAAGCAAATGTTACCCTTTCAAGTAACTTTTTGTTTCTAGACATGTTTGGATCAGCTAAGTAACTCTTTTAACTTATTTTGAAGCTTGATCAATAAAAAATACATATTTTTAAAACTTATTCATTTACTTACAAGTAAACTTTTTAAGCTTCGCCAAACATGCTTGTTTAGGAGCAAGAAATAGGAAAAAAAATTCTTACCTTTACATAAACATGTTGATCACTTCGCTGATAAGACCCAAACCTGGACAAAGTGGAGTTCAGATAACTATGACAGGGACTTCGCTACATGTACACCCTGTTGCACAGAATGTTTGACCGATAAAAAAAAATGAAAAAAAATAGTAAACAATTTCAAATGAAAAAACAGTTTGACAGATTTCTATTTTCTTTTTTATTTATCCCTGTCCAAGAAGCTTATTCCCTATAGAAATGCTACCTGTACATATTGTTTTAATAGATGGGGTTATATAATTCTGAGTTGGCAAGATTTCACACCATTTTGGACAAAAAAAAACAACAAAGTTAAACCATTAAGCTTCGCCAAACATGCTTGTTTGGGAGCAAGAAATAGGAAAAAAAATTGTCTTACCTTTACATAAACATGTTGATCACTTCGCTGATAAGACCCAAACCTGGACAGAGTGGAGTTGAGATAACTATGACAGGGACTTCGCTACATGTACACCTTGGTGCACAGAATGTTTGACCGATAAAAAAAAATGAAAAAAAATAGTAAACAATTTCAAATGAAAAAACAGTTTGACAGATTTCTATTTTCTTTTTTATTTATCTCTGTCCAAGAAGCTTATTCCCTATAGAAATGCTACCTGTACATATTGTTTTAATAGAAGGGGTTATATAATTCTGAGTTGGCAAGATTTCACACCATTTTGGACAAAAAAAAAACAACAAAGTTAAACCAACCAATGAAATCTTGCCAGCCCAGCATTTGTAAACCCATCTGTTAAAAAATCAGTACAAGTAGCATTTTTCTAATCCCTAAGACAGTATTAGCTTCTATAAATGATAAATGATGCACAGGAACGCCAATGTCCTCAAAAATTATTCTTGAGATCTATGTAAGTTTCATATTTGAAGAAGCTACCAACATAAGAACAACATTTAAACCAGCCACCTACATTGGACAACAGAAGAGAAAACCAATCAATTAATGAAACGAACAATCAAAGTCAATATAACCAAATTAAATCTACAAGCAAGAAAACTATTTATTTCTCACAAGACACAATAATCACAAAATAATAAAACAGTGTAAGCAGAAGCATACAATGAAAAGGAAAAACCAGTCTAGGTGAACATCGGGCTTAAGGTTAGTGATATAATGGTAATTATTGTTGTTGATGCCGAGAATATACTCAGGGAGAACCTGGGATCACACTTTCTCTGATACCTACAAACTGATGCATGAAATCTCCTACAAGTCTCATGTTTATATGTTAGCGCATGCAATGGTGTTTAGCTACACAAATGGACAAGAATTACCTTTGAAGGCTCTCAATGATGAGGGAAAACTATTTCAAGAATACTGGAATCATGTTGAAGCATGAAATCTTCTAGAAGAATCACAAAGATGACAGTTAATGTATGCATACCTTCAAATGATATGGACTGTCATAGCTGTAGTCTAATTTGTTCCCATCTTTCTGATTGGCTGCTGAGTAGAATTTGACGGGTAAGAAGGTAACTTTTGAGGAAAATTATGAGAGTCTACTAGATAAGTGGAAAGATACAGAGTTTTCTGAACATGGGTGGGTTCTCAAATGGGAGCAAAAGATTGTATAATTTGATGGGTAGAAAGGCAAGAAAGTATAATTTGATGCCAGGAGAGTAATGTCAGCCTAATGCAAACCTGGAAATCGATCAATGAAGCAAGTATGCT